GGCTGGCTCGATCGCCGTGGAAAAGAGTGTTTTACACAGCGATAAAAGGAGCAAAGGGAGGAGTAATAATAAGGAGCGGGGGGAGGAGGGAGGAATTCAAGGTGGCTCGAAAATTGACGCGCGCTCGATTAATTCCGCGACGCTTACGAGTTTAATCGCCCGGCCATCAGACTTCTCGTTTCGAGGACGCTGTTTTATAGGAGGGGGGGGGGAAGAGGGGCGGAGGGGAGAGGGGAGGGAAGGCAGGTTTCTGGAAGGAAGGCAAAGATCGAAATTGCTCGTCGCGTTGTCGTTCATCGACCTGCTGCGCTCCTCGTCGTCGTCGTTCGCTGACTGATTTCTTGATGTTTAAAAAAGTATTAAAGAAAAAGAGGAAAAAGAGGGACAGAGGGGAAGAAATGGTTTAAACGAAGCAGCAGCGGCGGCAGCCGGTTTCAATGCACGCGCTTCGATATAACTCGATTCTCGCCTCGTTCCGGATCTTCGGATCCCGGCTCGTTCCTCAAAACGCTCAATTATCTCTCTCGGCGGGGAACGGGGATGGCGCGAGACGAGGCGATTAACGATCGGTTGGCGTTTCAGCAATTAACACGAGCCCGATAGTCGTGGTGTTCGCTCCACCACGGACGAAGATGCACGATGTATAATACGGAATTGACATCTTATGGCGTTTTGCGGTTTGAATTATTCCAACGCTTTACTCGTGCAACCAATCGAACAATCGAAAATCGTATTCGATCCAAAGTTCATAGTATTATTATATTATATACACATACGAATATCTACAAATTCATATATATATATATATATATATATATATAATCGAATCACATTTTTTTAGATTTTTCGATATTAATTAGATATGCGCACAGTAATAATTATTCGTCGATCAAACACACGGAGGGAAACGTTTACACACCTATACACCGTGAAAGCAGCCGTGACAGGAGAAAGGAGAAAGATCGAAGAAACGAGCTTAATTAAACGCTAGATTTTTCTATCTCCTCTCCGCTCGTCGGGCCGAGCGTTCTAATCGCCCGATGCTCCCCTCTAATCAGCGGATCGTGTCCCTTCCCTTCCTTTCGCCCTCCCCCTCCCCTTCTCCCCTCCTCCACCGAGATGTTTCCCATCCACAAACAAACAAACGCCGCTCCGCCTTCGTTTCGTTCACGGGGAATTCCCCGTGTATACAGGCGCGGCGGCGCGTCTACCCTTCCCTCCACGATCCTCTCCCACGGGGAGAGGTGCCGTGGAACGAAACAATCTGTGAACAAGCTACTACACGTAGCTTCTCGATGTATCTTGACGATTAGATTCTAGGCGAATCCAGGTAGTAGTAGTAGCGGCGTTTGAGTTTGTACCGGATAAAGGAGACGCGGCGAACTCGCAACTGGACCCGTGGAAACCAAGAGGAAAGAGCCTTAATTAAGAGGCGAGTCTCTATTCTTTTTCTCCTTTTGCTTCTTTCTCTCCTCTCTGTGTTTTTCTTTTATATATAATGTATATACATGTATATACAGAGCTTTTTCGCTCGATTCTTGCCCCGATTTCCTCCGTTTACCGTGTTTACTCTCGCCAGCTGTTTCCTTACAATCTTGTGTCTCTCGATCCTTCCTCCCCCTCCCCTTTTTGCGCCAGATAGTTTCAGTTGATTCGGTGTCTCGCGTTTGCAGATGTTGCGAGCTGTTTGCGGCAGATTTGATGGACTCGAGGATCGATCGGTAGAGAGAGAAAGAAGAAGGGAGGGAGAGAGAGAGAGAGAGAGAGGGAGGGGGGAAGTTTGCTCGGTCGTTTTGATTGTTCGGCGAGTTGTTTCATTTAGATGATGAGACGTGCGGTTTATCTTTCTGACGGGGAGTTTCGACGTATGATGCGATTAGTTTCTAATATAATTTTGAATAATACGAAGGAGGAAATTTGAATAAAAATTTTATAATATCCTCCCGTGTTCGAATTGTTAGAAGATAGAAAGAAATTATTTTCACTCGAGCTTTTGTAAATGCGTTAAAATTAAGAAAAAAACGTTCTCCTCGACTGCAAAAGGATTACAACTTTTCATCGAATACGAATTCCAATATCGACTTTAATCAACTCGAAAGCCATAATAGTCCCTTTCACCCCCTTTTTTTTTTTTTTTCCAACTCGGCTAAGGGTATAATGGACACACTGCGCATGAAGAGTAATTGCTCGTGAGAATAAATTTTCACCGCCATCCCTGTAAACGTATAACACTCCCCTCTCTCGGGAATTTATAGATTTTTACACCACTTTGAGAAGTGTCTTCCCGGATTTTCGTGGTTTTCGTTTCCACCGCAATTTCGCCGCGTTCTCTCGAACGAACGTAGAAAAACGTAACAGAAAAATCTGGGAACAACGGCGGAACAAGAATTCCCTCGTATTTCGGATTCCAGGGAGGAGATATCTAAAAAGCTAATATAAGTCGCGGTGGATAAACGCTATCTCCTCGTCACGGTGGACGGTCGAAGGGAACTGGGAGGGGATAAGGGAAAGAAAAAAAAAAAAAAGAAAAGAAAAAAAAGAACGAGAGAAATCTTTTTTTCGTGTCTAAGAGGACACCAAAGCGACAGAAAAGAAAAGAAGAAAGACGAAAAGTCGAGTTGGCCGGGGAGAGACCAGGTAGGAGGGGGACAAGGAGTAGAGACAGGAAGGTAAAAAGAAAACGAGAATAGCGAAGGTGAAGGGGAGAAGAGGGAAAGGGGTCGGTCGCCGCCGCCGCCGCCGCCATCGTCGTCGTCGTCGTCGTCGTCGTCGTCGAGACCACTTCGACCGCTCCTTTTGTCCCCGAAGGCGCGAGATATCTCTCTTTATCCGGATTAAGAGGCGAAAGGGGTCAAGACTCGGGGATTAATAATTTGTCCGGGGCCGAGAGGGGCGGGTCGCGCGATCGCTTGGACGTATCTGAGAGGAGGACGGCTCGTGTCATTCTGTCACGTCCCTCCCTCCTCCCCCATCCCGTTCGATCCACGTACCCTTTTCTCGAGGCGAGCCAATCGGTTGCTTACCCGTCCCGGCATTTTGTCAACGCCGACGACGAGCAACGCCGAAAATCGCGACCGAGAATCGGTTGCAAGAAAAGAGAAAAAAGAAGAAAGAGAGAGAGAGAGAGAACGTGTGGTAAAAGCGGTAGAAGTTGGGAAGAGGGGAGGAGAGGAGAGTAGCGGTAGATAGCAGGGGCCGTAAGGGGCAGAAATACGACGAGGCGGAGCAGCAGATAAACGACGTATCGAGCACGCCTGTTGAGAGAGCGTTTTCGTTCGATAAACAGAATAATTTGATGTCGTCGTGGTCGTGGTCGGCACGATTGATAAAACCGGACCGCGTCGATGGAAACGCGGGCCGGAGAGAGGAGCCTCCGGACCAGTGTTCGCCTCGAGATAATACGCGCTTGTTGCCGCGATACCCGCTCGCTGATAATTTATAAGCACGAGCGCACGCGCACACGCCATCCGCGGGGGAGAGAGAGTTTAGATCGTATTGTGCGGAACTTTGCCGTGGAATTGCCGTGCAGGGAAAGGCGTGGAAAAATTTTAAACAAGTTAAAATAAATATTGAAAATTATAAAGAGAAAAAGATCCTTTCCCGCCAGGCACTTCGAGTCCATTTTCAATTCTGTTTTGAAATTTCTTTCTTATACGATTACGTAAAAGTAAGGATGAGTATAAATAAATTCTACTTTTTTTTTTTTTTTTTTCAAATAAAATTTTAAATCGTTGAAATAGAATCGTGATCCATCGTGGCGAATGCGGGAGTGTAAATAATTATATTTAACAAGTAACGTGAAGAATGAGAACGGAAGAGCAAATTTATTGGCTACCATTAGAGGATGAGTCATTGCTTCGCCAGTTCTTGATAAACGCTTTGGTCAATGATATTCATAGTATCTTGGTTGAACGGTATATTCGAGTTTTGTAATTTTGAATCGAGTCCAAATACTCGAGAATAACTCTTGTCAAATTATCTGGTGTGCGATTAATGTGATTATAGTGCGTTATTTCTAATGTTTTTTAATATTAAAATTTTGTGTAAAAAGAGGTTGAAATATTAGAATCGTACGTTGATAATTGCAAATTTCCTTCGATAAATGTTACTTAGTTACTTCAATGCTTTAAATTCATACGAAAATATCTTATAAATTTGTTCCTTTTCTATTGGTACGAAGAGAGGAGCTGGATTTGGCCGATTGCGAGCTACTGAATTATATATGTGCAATATCTACGATTTAAAATGACATATCAAACAATGAAGTGAAATTTTGTAACACAGGGCGTAAATAAATTTCAGACTATTAATAATTCAAAACCATGATTGTATTATAATTTATTTCCAGACGAGTTTAATATAAATAATATAATAACGTCCGATAAAATTTCTCTAAAATTATATATTAAAGAAACATAATGTAGATATCGTTGAATTTAAATATTTCACCATACAATTTGATTAACCCATTAATATCGATCTTTTTTTTTTTCTTTTTTCTTTTTTTCCAAAAAATTTTTTAAAACACACAGTAGTATAAATGTTTTTATTTTTCAATGGATTTAATCCAGATATGGATTTATATTAAAATACCAAAATATATGTTTTTCCTCCGTTTTAAACAAAAATAATTCTCACGTAAAAATTATAATCAATATTTCTTTTTACGCTCGACCGAAAATCGAAACTGAAAACGAAATGGATCAAGTGCAAAAAAAAAAAAAAAAAGCAGCTTGATCCTGCGAAATTATTGTATCGATGGAACGATATCGTGACGAGGAACACGCGTTTTGCAAGAAGTGTAGTAGATGTACTTTTAACGTGGTGGCTCCGATCCAAGAGCGCCAAGCATATTTGCAATTTGTCACATTCAAGGGTTCCGATGAGAATGAGAATAACAGAGTGTGTGCGGAACAAGATTCGTGAAGATTCGTGAGTTTAAATAAATTCGACGATTTCACATACGTTGCTCAAGATCGTTTTCTCTTTCGCTGTTTCAGTTTCTCGTAGTCATCGATGACGTGTTTAGAGGAGTCATAAGGAAGAGCTAGACAACTTGTAACAATACCAGCCTCCAAAATAATGTGCTCGAAGACGCAAACACGTCAATTAAGTTGATTTCACAGTTACGAAACGAGACACGGGAAAAAGGTTTGCATTTAAATTGCTATTACAAACAATTTTTTTTTCCAGACAGGCTGTAATGAATGAATGGGTTATTAAATTTGTTACTTTTCGTTCTTTACTAGAGGTTGTAAAATAAAATAAAAAAAAAAAAAAAAATAATAAAAAAATTGTACGGTTTTTATTTAAAAAAATAAAATAGCAATAATAAAGATAATTGGAGATTGGAATAAATAAATTCGTTTTATTTTATTTCATAGGTATCGATTTACAAAAATTGCGCAGTTTTCATTAAAAAAATAAAATAAACAATAAAAATAATTAGAAATTAAAACAAATAAACTTTTCTTTTATTTCATATCGGTTTACAAGAAAAAAAAAAACGTGTACGATTTTTATTTAAAAATTGAAGTAGCGACGATAAAAATAATTATTCGAAATTAAGAATAAATTTTGAAATAAGCAGTATTATGATTTTTCGTAAAAATTTTATTTCGTTCTAAAAATAATAGAAATGTAAAATATTAAGTTATAATAAAAAAAAAAAATATAATAAAAATATGTTACGCATCGGATGTATAGTAGATTAAAAACAAATCTATACCACAAATATATATAAATCTTCTCTATTATATTTTTAACCCTTTTTCTTTCAAATCCTGTGCTCTTCTAATCTTTTAAATCCGAATTTAGGACGAAGAACAAACATTTTAACGATAAGCTTTTGCCGCCGCTGCTACTACTACCACTAGGTCGTCCTCCGCTTCGGAAACTTTTAAGAAGCCGAAGAAGAATATTCGCAAATGGAGTACTCAAGTTCCAGTTTGCGGTCAGTACGCTCATATTATGCAGCCGTGATCTTTGTAGATTACAAACGAAAGTCTTTTCTCTTAGTGGCGTTCCGGGCGATGTTAAACTTTTGTGGGCCAGCAGCCGTCCATTACGGTGATAACATTGCAGCCATCAAGCTTACCACTGCTTACTCCCCATCTTTCGAAGAAGAAGAAACTGCTTTTAATCTTCAAAGAGGATTCTTTTAACCCTTTGTAACATAAGTAGATTTCTCGTTCCTTGTGAAACGAAATTTATCATAATTTCTTAGTGTTTCTTAAAGTCAAATAAATACGAATCTTTACTAATATTATATCGTTCCACGAGGAATGAAGCAATGCATACAATAATTTGGCTTAATAAGATATGATAATTCGACATGAATGAAGAAGACGAATGAAGAATTAATTTGTAAAAAATAAATAACAGGTAAGTGAAATTTCAGAAAAAATTTACCTCTCTCCTTTTCAATTTTCAAGAAACTATTCGTCGCTCACGACGTACCTTAAACCTGATTTCTAAATCCTTATTATCCATACTCGAATAACTCGTATTAATAATCAATAAGTAACCTAAAATTTTAAATACAAATAAATAACTCGAATAACTCAGGTAGTGCAGAAACTTTCAACCGAAAACGTTAAACGGAAGACAAAGAAGAAAGTCTGGCTAATCAGCAATACCACGATCCCTGTCCGTAAAGCGAAGGGAGACTTTCGCCCTGGTAGTCACCTGTAATCTGCCCGTAAACGGTTTAAAGTACGCTAATTCTCCTCGCTACCTCGGGAAAACATCTCTCCAGACCAAGCCTCTTAGGAGCTAGCGCTCGTTAGGCTTGCCTTGTAAGCGGCCAACCGATTCGTATACCTGCGTGCCGTGTTTCACCACCTCGTCGATTCGCCGCGAGAACACAACGTGAGAATCGAAAGTCGCAGAGACGGACCGCAACCGTTTGAAACCGGATGCACAGGCCGCGTATACGCGCAAGCACGGTGGTGGTGGGGAGGAGGGGGGATAAAGGGGGCGGTTCGAACACGCGTCTAATACCGATTATACCGCGTTTAACACGAGCGTCTTTCGACAACGCGACGAATGGAAACGCGGCGGTTTCAAGCGCATGGTCGTCGTTAAGCGAACGTGTTTCTCGGACGAATCGGCCGCTCGCGTGTATTTAATCGGATCGTCGGTGAACGCCCGATCCGGACCGGACGCTCCGTATCAATCGGCCTCGCGTGAATACTACTGCTACTATTACCACTACCACCATTGCAGGTCCAAACTGCAGGTAATGATATCGTAGGGCGGGGATGGAGGACGAAGGATTTCGCGTTTGTGTATCTACAGGTATGTACTGTACCGGAGGGGTGATATTAGGAGGGAGGGAAGGGGCTCGTTATGGTCGGTTTTGGGGCAGGATATGGTTTGAGAGTAGTGTATTTAAGAGCCGTCGTACGTGTTTAATATACGGGAAGCGTGGATGTTACGTTATCATCAAGATCTGCATCGACGTGTAGTTGTAATCTTGATAATTTGCAGCGAGATCTTCTCCTCATTTTGAATGGTAAATAAATCTTATGCGTGTGCTTTATGCGTTATCTTGTTTTTTTTTTTTTTTTTTTTTTTTTTGAAAATAATTTTAATTTTGTGGAAGGGAAAATTCGTTCGGGAAATGATTCGAAGATAAGGAAACGAATATAAGATAATGGAAATACCTTGTAATTAATCGGATTTATCGGAGTATGCAAGAAGAAATGCATGTTTATCGAACGTTTATTTGCAGAATGCATTATCATTAGCAAAACTGCAAGAACAATGTAATAAAATAAACAAAAATGTGATAAAGAATTGTTAATTTTTGTCGGTATGACGAGAGAATTGCTCGTTAAATAATGACTAATAAGTTAAAGAATTTAATCTTAATGTTCAAACAGGTACGTGATTTGACGTTATATCGTATGTTTCCCAAAGATATTCACAATATAACAAAACAATCATTTGTTGGAACAACATGGAGTAGCCAAATACCATGTTCCGAAATACACGTTAACGAAAAAAAAAGAGACATGTGTTTCAATTAACGGTAACCTCAATAAACTGTGAATAAATTTTTTTTCACCAGTTTTACATTTTTAGAACGCAACTGTGCTAATGGATACTACATTCGTCATTCGAGAATATGGTTGTTAACACAAAGAGTAATCGTATAAGATCGATAAAATTACAATTCACCATTGTTGGATCAATTATAAACATGCATTACTATAGAATATGAATGTCGATTATTATAAATGCTTGTTTTACAAGAAATCTATCGATCGAAAAAACAATTCCGTTTAATCTTAGATTAAAAAAAAAAAAAAAAAAAAAATGGAAAAAATGAATAAATTAAAAATCGAAAAATCTAAATTAGAAATAAAATATTAACGAAGTGTTTCGAAAAATAAAAGGCAACTCCGGATGGAGTGGTCAACGAATAATTTTACACTCGCTACAAACAGCCGCGCTATGCCAGAGAATCGAAACTAATCTGTGCACGGTTTTATCATCGTGGCGTGGAACGCTCTCTAAAAACCTAGTCGAAAAACCACACGTTATATGGTAATACCGGTGAATACTCGGGGAATTTTGTACCCAGCTCTCTTACTATCCCTCCTCTCCCTCCCTTCCTCTTTCTCCGTACTTTCTCACCTGCCTACACGGCAGAGTACACGGCGGTACCCTTAGCAGGGACCATTGTGTATACGCATCGTGTATTCACAGCTCCGCGAGACAAAAGAGACTACCTCCTTGCGTGGTTCGGGAACGACTGGCCCGGGTGAGAGATGAGACTACGTATATAGTAGTCAAGCGTGGATTCGTAACTCGCGATTTGATTGGTCGGTGGAGCACGCCGATTGGTCCGTTCTTGCGCCCTTTCGACACCAACTCCACGCGGACTGAATCGTCTGTCCTCGTCCTACTTATCACGAACAGATTGCCGTTTCCGTTCCGCTTATACCGCAACCTTATTCCTTCCTTGTTTCTCTATCGTTGAGATATTCGAACGTCATCGTCGCACTCGTGACAGATACGATAGCAACCACGGCCGGCTGTTCTCGAGTCTCTCATTCTCCTTCTCGCAGTCTTTCCTTGCCTCTCGGCTCTTCAATCCTTCTTTCTCTTTCATCCTTCTCACCCTTTTCTCTTCCATCCCGTCTCCCTTCATCGCTCGCGCTCGCTGATTTCTCTCTCCGTCCCACGAAAACAGTCTCTCAGCAGCAAAGCAGCGAGATCCCCCGGACGAGATATGAATTCACGTTCCTCCTTTTATATTCCACGCTCGCCTGCCCTCCATTTTGCTTGCTCGAGTCCCTTGTCTGCCTCGCCGATCTGCGACTACCGTATGTGTCGGCTGCACGGCTATCTCACAGGCTTCTCTTCCATCTTTCTCGTTCCCCCCTCCCTCCCCCTCTTTCTCACTCTTCTTCGATCTTCTCTCGCTATATACGCGAATGATCGTGTTGTTCCGACGTCGTCGTACTCGTCTCCGTCGTCGTCGTCTCCGTTGTCTTCGCCGCCGCTGCTATCGTCGTCGGCGTCGTCGTCATCGTCGTCAAGCTCTCTTCGGTCGCCGACGTGCTGCTTTGTGCAATACACGCGTATATATCTGCTACGAATATATATACGGTTTGGACCGGCGCAATGTGTGTGCATTGTACATGATATTCGAAGCTACGCGTAGGACGTGGTCAATGGAGAAGATGCGGAGTGGGACCGAACTGTTTGCTCCATATATGACGTAAGCAAGAAAGAGATAGTAAAATATGAAGAAAAAGAAATAGAAAATAAAAAACGTCAGCAGAAGGAAGAGGGAAAAGGAAGAGAAACGAAGCGTTAAATATTAAAAACAATCCATCAATTAGCGTTAATGCCTGTGCATTAAGCGAGCTGCTCTCTTCTCATTCTCTACGGAGACACGTGTTCGCGTGTAAACGTGTGATACTACTGTCTTCGCCGCGTGTCTACACAGATAGATATGTATATGTACATATACACACACGCGACGACTACTGGTAGGTATTCATTTCGGTTCGTTAGGCGCGGCCCGCTGTCGTATAGGCGTTACGCAGTGTACATACGTCGTGTGCAAGGTATACATATGTAAAGTGTACACACGTGCGGTTACACTACGCCTCGCTCTCCGTCTGTGCGTGTACACGTATTCAATCGTGTGTATGTGTACACTCGTTATAGATATATGTATGTATGTGTGTATATATATATAATATATATATCATGAGTATATATACGCACACGTGCGAATTCACACAGAGATCTGGCCATCGGTTGCCGATGATTCGCATCGTAGAAGCATTTCCTCTCGTTGGCTAGCCACCTCGTAAACGACCGGCCGATCATTCGAACGGAAATAGTGAATCGAACCTGTAAGTCTGAATCAAGTTCCCACTTGTTTTCCTTTCTTAGATGAATCCTCATTTCTTTTTGGACTGTATATTTAAGTGAATCGAAAAGAAATGGAAATCTCGCATTGCAGCTAGTTGGCACATGGTTACCATGCATCTATATTTATTGTTGTATGTATTCTTAACATATTTACATGCCCGAAAATTATTGCGTATTTATTTTTTATTTTCTGTTTTTCTTTGTTATTTAAATTGGAAACATTTTCATGATCCTTTCTAGTAAATATCTTTCAATCAAAATTTGGGTTAATAATTGATATTTTAGTTTTGAATATTTATTGTAAATATATAGTCTATAATTTGAAACTTGTAAATTGTAATCAATGTTATTTATTAGTATATAAATTATGTGAAGATTGATACATTGTATAAGAGGATTCATTTCATCTAGAAAAACAAGTTGAATTTAAATTACCTATTTATCCAACTTCACCTAATATCACTATAAATGCGGAAGATCTTGGGATTTGGTCTATCATCATGCTCGTTCAAAAAGGGATTAATTTCTGATTATAAGGCAAAGTTAGTCAAATTTTATTTCGAATAATGAATAAAGTTTTAAAATTCATTCGTACGTAAATGAATCATGAATTTTATTCAGGAAATTATTCATGAATAAATCTGTAACGTTCGTTATCGAAAGAAATTCACGATAAATATGAGCATTAGAAATAAAACCATTTTGTATTTATGGATAGAAATCTGAAGAAATGCCATAAGGTAAGGAAAATACTTTTCTTGAAATAATACATAACTCACAATAAGTCAACGATGATTTGTAGTGATTGACATTTATTGATTTATTTTTTAAAAAAAAATTATTTAAAATCTTTAATAATTAGAATACAATTTATTCAATAATAATATATTTTTTTTTTATAATATATATTTCTGTACAAAGAATCACGTTATGTGATTGTGGTTTATATCATCCTTTCCTTCCTTTTCCTATAACGGAAATCTCGAACGTAAGTATAAAGTTGTTCGACTGGTACACAAACTTAACTTGTTAACTGTTAAAAGCAAATTAACTCGTTATTCGACTTGCTATTATTTTAAATTTAATAATTTATTTTCTAGAGATTCTTTATTTTTAATGCATCGTTATATTTTCATTAGATATATGTATATTATGCAGTATATTATATTTATATTTGTTTCTATACTTATCTTTGCAAAAATTGAAGAAATTACTTAACTAAAAATAATTTTTATGTTTATATTCATACTTTTTTATATTTTTCTTTTTTGCAAAGAATAAGAGGTCGATTTAACTAAAATTAATCTGTCTTTGTTAATTTTTCATTCCGTGTTAAAAAGAGTTTCTGTCTAAAAGACGACCTAGTTAACAAGTTAAGAAAAGGAGCGCTGACAAAGGATAATCAAGAGCGAATTCAGCGCTTTCAGAAGAAACCGAGCTTAAAAAGCAGTAGAGTACTAGCCACAATTACGTCGATTCCTTTTCTTTTATATATAAAAAAAAAAAGAGAAAAGAAAAAAGGTACAACTTTTAAACATTGAAAATTTGAAATCGTCTGACCGACTTCGTCTTTAAATCTTGACGAAATAAATCAAGAATCTTCATATTGTTTTATTATGAAATTAATACTTCATTCAAATATGATTTTTTTAGAATATGTATTGAATTCATACAAAGGGATCTTTTATTGTTTAATTTTAAACAAAAATTTTTTTTAAATCTTATTTGATAAAATACTTTCAAATCGAAACTTTTGATCAATTTCATCTAAACAATTTACATCAGATATTCTTAAAAAATTGAGGTTAGTAAAACGGTCAAACGATAAAATAATTCTTAATGTTTAAGATATTGCATGAACAAAATTTTTCAAACAATTTAAATTATTAATTAATAAGTATTAAATTATTAAAACCATCAAACTCTTCAATTAAAATATAAATCGATAAAAACGATTTATAATACGTACCCGCATGCACGTTCGAAACTCAATTCCAGTGGCGAGTAATCTCGAAAAATGGGTCTTAAAACACGAATAGCTCGTTACGTGGAACCCTTCTGCTTCTTGATATTTTCTCACATTACAAGTGACCGATACACTTTCATTTATCGCGGAGCCTGTTATACGTTATGTTGCCTCTTATAGGTTAGGTTGTCGTAACCGCACAAGCCTCGTGGAAGGACCTCGTTAAGATCACCAATGGTATTTAGACTCACCGAGTAAATGGTCCACTGGAATCGCATTAATATCGAATCACGACGACCGGTATAATTAACTCGTCTCTTATTTATCCGATCGGTCCGTATCACCGTTCGCGTAAAACTGCCTGTCAAACATGGCCGCCAATGAACCTGTCTTGTGTCGTACTGTCCAGATAATCCGGTAAGACGGTTAGTCGGTATGTTGGTCACTTTTAATCGGTATCATCTTGTATCGCGAACTCATATTTTTTTATTTTGCCATTTTTATGAGAAGGAACATGTGATTGCGATACATGAGATATCGAGGTTAAATATATTAATTGGAAAATTTTTTAAACCAATTGTATCATCATTTTTTTCTAAGACAATCCTATCTAAAATAATTTTTGAATTATTTTAATCGATTTTACGACTATAAAATTTATAAAGTAGAAATAAGAATTTTAAAAAAACGTGTTATAACCAAAACGTGTTTAACTTCTAACCCGTACGACAACGAATCGTCTTATAAATTCAAATTTCTTCAAATTCTATTCCTATAATCCGCCATATGTATTCTTCTTTACCATCATCGTACAGAAAAAGGAAATAATCAATATAGACATCTTCAGTGTAAAAAGCAAACGAATTAATAAAAGACCCTGGAACGAGCAAAACGAGAGTGGGGGAAAAAAAGGAGAAGAGGAGAAGTAGGAGCAAGCGAAGTAGCTTACAGTGAATCGAATAAAAAAGTAAAGAAAAGAAGGAAGGTGTGGGAAAGAACGAGATGGAGTATAGGATACTTTGTGCCTCGAGCGTGGCCAGTGCAACGACATGCATCGGCCGCAGCAAGGGCGACATTATCGCCGGTTGCACACACCGCGCGGCTGCGGATGGTGCGGTATAGTGGTTAGGGGCGGTTAGGGCAGTGCACCACAAGGGTGGTCAAACCGCAAACGAGACCACCGTCCTGGCTATCTGCTATCTGGATAACC